TGCCTGGGAGAAATAGGTGCAATGCACCTGAGTGCTGTCAGTAGCAAGGGCTGCTTTGTGCTTGGGTTGCTTGGTGTCCTCTGCCGCTAGAGGGAGATACAAATTGACCACAAATTTTCCCTTGAAAAATAGTTTCCAGGTCACTAACTAAGCATGGGCCAACTTCTGCTGTTGGGATGCTCCTGGCAGTCTGGAATAAGCGACTGATTGATTTCCTCTAAGGTGCATCGGCGTCACTGAGAAGAGTGTTTGGATCTGTTTGCCTAGATGAAAGCTAATTAGAAATACAGTAACATTTTGAATCCCAGGCTTGAAAAACAGGTCTTGAAAGTCCAGTCCTGGGCTCGAGAAACTACGGTAGGGATGGTGGCCTCATACCTGCTGCCCCACATGTGGGAATCCCTTTGCAAGGGCTGCTTCTGGGACGAACCTTTGTGCTGTCCCACAAACCTGAATCCAGAACTGCCATCTGGGAAGAGTGAAAGTGCAGCAAAACTGGGCTCCGGGGTTTCACTGCCAAACGCTGCCGTAGGACCGCGGATGGGCCTTGGCAGTGAACGACTAGAGCAGTAACTTGGGGCAAGCTGCTTATCTGATTTTCTCATTATGGCTTGCATATGCTAAGAGGAAAGTGTATGTCATATATTTGGTATTTAAATATATATTTAAGAATTAAATTTGCCCAGAAAAAAAAATCAGAAGTACCAAAATGAGCAATATACTACTGATAATATACTACTGATGCCCTGTCTTTTTTAAATGTCAAATGTGAATGTAATTCTTATTAAAATTCAATGAAACTAGCTGTAAAGAGCCTAGATTGCTTTTAAAAATATGATTATATATTCCGAAATCATTTAAAATTTTGAAAATACAACCCGGCAGATGCAAGTTTGTTGAAAAGTAAAGAGCCCATCTAATAATTTGAGTTAAACAGGTTTAGGGCAAGAGGTCCTGTGGTAGGTAGTGCAGGTATCTAGAAAAGCATTAGCAGGCTCTGTACCTTTAGGCAAATTGCTGTGTAATTGTGCTTATTTCTCAGTGTTAAAACTGCAGAAATGCCTGATGCATATGGCTGGATGCGTCTATACAGCTGTGGATTCACTGGATGTTACAACATGATGTTATAGCCATGATCTATATGGCTAAATATATATCTTTGACAGGCAGAAGTTGGTTTCTTGCGTGGATTGCCTTTTTCTGCATTTCTTCTTTTATTTTCATTATAGGTGGCAGTGGGGAGGAAGACATGCGTAGTGGTGAGATGAGAGAGTTGGAAGATACCAGGCAGAAGCAAAACTGAGCTGTTAGTGCTTCAGAGATTGATGGTAAAACTAGCAAGAGGAAAATGTTCTGATGGTCATCACAGGGAGCTACTTTTTCCCATTACTTTAAAATCTGTTTTAGAATACAGACTTGATAAAATACAGAACATACATTTTCGATATCTGTAATTACAACGGCTGTTCCCCTGAGTGGTGGACTAGTTACAGGTTGTGTTTGTTGGCGTGAGCTCCTGGTTCTGGATGAATGATACCCTGAAGTCAGAGCATTACAGTGAATCACACGCAACCTGTGCAGATCGTCCTGTGCTGCTTGATCTTGAACTCCAGGGAAAGGGTATATCTGAAGAAAGGATCTCCTTTTGTGTGTAATGCTGTGTGAAAATAGCTATATTGAGATGCAGCTTCAGGGATTCTTTCTGTGTCTAATTCAAATAGCTTTTCATATCTAGAAAAAATAACTAGGGATTTTTTTTTCTTTTTTTTCAGTAACAGTATAAATAGAATGTCTGTGTAATAATTGAACAAAAATGCTGAAAATTTACGGGGTTTTAATCATAAATTTGGAATGTTTATCTAGCAAAGTAGACATTGCCACTGAGGTCAATGGTTTTTCTAAAGAATGCTTGAGAGCAAAGATTAAATATAGTGTGTACTTTCCCAGTGGATTCAGCCCTGTGCTGTACACAAGATAATTTCATTCATTATTCAGTCAGCCTTCATTACCTGCACCTTTAGAGTAATAAGGTCTGAGTTGTGTTGTTATCACATCTCAGGAGTTTCATTAATTTTAATGGGTCTGGATTCTCTAAATGTCCAAGGCTGCAGTGTAAATGCCAAGATCTAGAAAATTTCAGCCTATTCCAAGATAATGAAATTATCAAGAAAGTTTTACTGGTTCAGGCCCTGTCCAGCACTAAGTCTTTGATTAAAATGTTGACAGTATAGTAATACGTTGTGGCAATTTGTTTTTTTTTTCTTTATCCATGTTGTGAAAGACTCAAATGCCATTGTCTGCATTTGGATTAGGTTGTGGTAATGCAAAATAAAATCAACTGTTTGTTTTTCACAGTTAGAAGACAGATTGACCCCGTCATCCTTGCAAGTAAAGCTAGCATAATGTGTCCAGTTATAATTTTATATTAACCTATAGTTGAAAAGTAACAGTAGTAATCTAAAAAGGAAAGGAGAAAGTTAGCAGCTAGTGGCATAAAAGAAACGACTCTGATCTCATAATCTACCCAGAATCATAAATGTGATCCTGAGATCTCTTTACTGTCTGAAGAGACTGACATTTAATAGTTTCTGTTCTATCATATGGATTATTTTATATAGTGACTAATACTTTGCTTGGTTTCAACCTGGCTTTTATTTTTGGTTAATATGAAGCTTGCTGAAGCCAGTGAACAGTGGGTGCTGATTCCCTAATGACAGACCCTGCTGATGTAGTCACTTCTTATCTAGGCTATGGATTTGATGCATGTGTCCACAATTCACTGTAGCAAATATGGTACAATTTTTGCAAAAATGTAAAGGGAAGCAAATGAGTGTCCTTTAAGGAACAGCACCTTCAGAAACGGAACCTTAGAATATCCTAAGAAAACACAAATACCTTACTCTAGCAATAGTTCACCAAGTTTAAGTGAACCTCTAGGATATATTTAAAAGAAAAAGAAAGGTACCAATTTAAAGTACAAAACACAAGCAGAAATACTTTGTAAGAAGTCTGTGAGTCATGTTTTCCTCATAAAATTGTTGAAACTATTGTGCCTAGAAACAATTAAGAATATGACTAGGAATGGAAAAGTTTAGCCATAAATACAAACAGACACCAGCTTTTTGTTTGTGGAGGATGAAGGTCATTTGGCTTGAGGAATAGACTAATACTAACACAGATTATGTAGAACATGGGGTTTGAATGTACTCCCTGTTGCATAGAAGAGTAGATGTTTGGCCCTGTGTGTCTGGATACTTGGGAATACTGAGGTTAAATGACTGTAAAATATTGGGGTGCTGAAAACCATTGAAAATAGGAACCAACAAACAATCTTTTCTTTAAATGGAAAACACTTCTTTCAATTTATTTTAAATCATATTATTTAGGCCCTGAAATCTCAGTTTTACAACATTGCACATGTAAAACCTTAGAGTAAATTTAGGCAGTGTGGAGGTCTGTCTGAGGACTCTCAAACATTATCAAACATTATTTTTCAAGCCTCCTCCTTTTCTCCAGCAGATCAGTGTTTTTATTGCTCTTGTCAGGAGGCACCTTCCATCGGGCCTCAGAGTTTGTGTTCTACATGTGCCAGCCCAAAGCGAGCTGCTGTATTCACATGCTGTGCTTTTTGGGGAGATTCAATGTGAGGGCATAGCTCTGATCCCAAGGGACTAATCCCCGTATTTAAGAGATTCAAAGTCATTGACATGCCCAGCAGAGATGATAGATTGGAAGATGGATTTGAACTCAGCTTTGTCAGGAGTCCATATCTTATTTATTTCTAGCCTAAAAGGACAGTTCAATCTGAGATGTGTCCAGATGCTTTTACTCAGGGGCAGTCATAATGTAGCTCAGCACATTTATACAGACACTCTGGCTAGCAAAACCCTCTGTTTAAACAACTGCATTTATAAATCTTTCTTACCAATAAAATGCTGTCATGATATCCTACTTATGGCCTTCTAGTCAGAAGTGTGAAATGAGTGGTAAGATTTCTAGGTCACTACCAGGTGTGTAGCGTGACTTCATCAACATAATTTCAAAGTAAAATAGATAACTAATGATGTAGTCTCTTTCTTTCTCTCTTTTTCTCTTTCTCTCTCTCTTTCTCTCTTTCTTTCTTTCTTTCCTTCTTTCTGTCTGTCTGTCTGTCTTTCATGAAAAGAAACCGTATTGATAAAAATGTGCTTGTGAGTTGTATTTGAATGTTGCTGTATATGTTGCAACTAGATAGGACAGAGTCAGTGCCCTCAAGGATTGAACCTTTGTGCACTTATAAAGAAAAAACAACAAAAACATAAGCATTTAAAAAATATTTATGGCTTTACGTAAGTGAGGTCCAATATATCTGTCATTTACACTAATTTGCGACAGCGTATCTTTTTGGAGTCCAGAATAATATTTTATTTTATACTAACATGTATGGCAATGGGCTCAGGGCTAAGCAATTTAGTGTACGTTTCAAACTTAACTTATGTTTGTTGGTCAGGGATCTCCCTGTTTTTGTTTGCTTAATTTCTACAATCTTCAAAGCCTTTCAGCCTCATGCGGATGCTTTAGGAGTCCTATAAAATTATGCAAGCTTTCTTCTGCATTTCCACTGTCGCTTCTACCCATGAAATAGGGTTCTTAGGTTAGGGAGCTGAAGAATAGATCCTGGGAATCAGCCTTGATGAGGGATGTGGTCAATAACCATGAGGCTGTTTGTCTTATTTCTTCCTTTAACAGCTTGTTATGCAATGACATTTTTCAGTAAATTGCCTGTTTTTTTCAGACTAATGATCCTTTTGATGGGGTGACTGTTCACAGAGTTGTAAGCATCTAAAAACTAAGGGAAAGAATGGAAATTATTACAAAACTTCAGCTGCCATGTGATGCAAGTGCAAGTCCTCTATGATTAGGGGTGTACAAGAGACAGCCTTTCAAAGCATGAGAACACAACTGCTGTGCAATTTGATTAAAAAGTGATTGAGATGCACCCAAATTTGTCCATATAGCAGGTTTTCTATTGATGCCACTGAAGCTGTGGAGTCCTGTGGAGTTTAATGCACAGAGGTACCAAATAAGTAGCTATACCCAACACTTGTCTTCTATGCAGCAAGCAAGGTAGCTTGCAAAGCAAGTAGCTGGCTTGGATTTGTGATTGTCAGATCTTGTTCTAATACCTCATGCCTGTTTTTCATGGATATATTCATGAGCTTGGCAAAGCCTGCAGAAGAGACAAAGAAATAGGAGCTCTAAGACTTCAGGGAGCTAGCTGAGAGGTTTCACATCCCATAATCAGTTCTCACTCAAACAGAATCTCTGCTATGGATCTTTAGTTACTGCCGTAGCAGGTAATGGTACCTAAAGCACAGTCACTTACAGTAATTCCCTGTACCTGGGGATGAACTTGCAAACCTTGCCAGAATTTGCAAAATGCTCTCTAAATTTGCAAAATATGCTCAAAATCTCATCCCTCTTTGGAAAGCATATATAACCATCAGGCACTCTATGCTTTACATCCATTCTGGAAGAACACTGAGTTAGTTTGCTCTCCAAGCTAGTGACAGAGCCAGGAAAGAGTCTTACTCTGACATTTCTGGGCTTCCAGTCTGAATAACTGCATCCACGCTGCTGGAATAATGTGGAGGCACAGGGATTGGGTGCAGATGTTTTTTTCCAGTATCTACACTGTTTAATAAGAGCTCCCAATGTCTTGGAGCATTTTCTGTAACCCAGGACAAACTTTTTCATGGAGTATCTCCATGCAGACCTCCTTATTGGAGTTTTCCGCCTCTGTACATACTTCTCTATAGAAAAAGATATTCCATTTTTTGTGCTTTACTTAGTCAAAAATTTTCAGCAATTTCAAATGGAGTTTTGTGTGAGTAAGGATTAAGAACTGAGAGGTAAATTAGGATTTGGCCTTCATTTTGGCATCATTAAAAAAAAAACAAAGCAAAGATGCTAGTTGTGGTGTTTACATTACGCCAGCCTGTGGGGGGAAGGAAGGGAATTATTCTGTATATTAACTGTCTGGGTGATTTTCTACAGCTGCTTTGAGGGATTGTCTGTTACTTATATTGTAACTTGGATTCTCTAGACATATGGCAGTGAACACAGTTCTCCAGAAAGCAAAAGAGTTTGACTGATGGAAAACAGAGCAAACCAAGAGAGCTTCTGCCAGAGGAGGAGCCTGAACCTGAATTTTACTGTTAAAACCAGACTCCTGCCTTGGGCTTAACTACCACACTCAGCCAAAGCCCTAATTCTGCTCTTGACTTCGATGTGGCTCTGCACAGATGCACAGAACTACTTTTGGACCTGGCTAAGTCTAGGGCTTAAGTATTGTTCTGGCATCCAGAGTGATTTGGAAGTACATGGGTTGGCCTGAGTTCCTTTTTCAGCAGTGGGACAATTACAGTTTATTTTATTTTTAAATCAGAAATGCAGAGAGCCTGTAAGTAGCCGATATTCTGACTTTTACATAGTAAGTTTGCAAAATCAATCAGCCATTGCAGAGGGCATGAGAGATTTTGTTTCAGATAGTCCAATTCCTTATTAATTGTGTTGTGGATGGCACCAGAGGAAACCTGCTTAGCAGACAAGGACTTTTTTCTAGTTAATCTAATGGCTGTTGTTCTGAGTATTCCCTTTTGTGCAGCTTGTCAGTGTCTAAGTGTAAACTGCGAGGAGGGGTTTCACTCATCTGTTTTTCTGTTTATTTCAGAAGCCAACAGACTTCCTGACTGGCAGTCATGTCGGTCAAGCTCACGTTCGTCTCTCCTGGTGACGGCGGTGGTATCAGCAGGAGTTGTTCCTTCACGGGATTCAGCACTATGCAGAGCAGAAAATTAGCGTAAGTAACGCAAACAGAAAAGCTCCTGGTCCTCTGGACAAGAGACATTAGGCACCATGAATGCATTTACTGAGCTCACGTATTCATATGTAGAAATTCTTTCTTGATTCTTATCTTAAAACGTGGGGTGTTGTCATTGTGCACTGAGAAGCAGCTACTACGGGTATTTCAGAGATGGCTGCATTTCAGAGGTTATGTAGCAAATATGTAGCAACGTGCTTATAGCATCCATTTTTTTCAGCAAAATGTTGGTATGAAAGGTGTTGATGTGAGGCTACCTAAACTCTGTTGCTGTAGTGGCTTTCACCCACTTCTCTGCTGGGTTTCTGCAAGCTCAGGAACAGATAAGAACACAGAAATGACTTTACTTGCTAGCACATGAAGTAGGTCTGATTCTTAAATGGAAATGATGCAGATAAATAATACCACAATTGCCCATTTTTCCAGTTTTCCTAAATTACCGATTTGAATGGATTAAGTGTAAGAACTGGAGGGAGCTGTGCCTTTCACAGAGGTGCAGGAGAGGCTGGTGCCCGGGGTGTCAGCCTGCCCCAGGCGCTGAGCTGGTGCCGCAGCCGGAGACGCCCAGCCCTGCGAGCGGCTGAGGAACACCGACCCGGCGGCTTCCCGAGGAAAGGTGAAGCCTTCCGAGTAGCTACGGTGACAACAAATCTCATACTGGGGATGCTAAAGGTTTATTCTTGCAAAATATGTAATTGAACCCGACGCAATTCCTGCAGTTATTTAAGCAGAGCAACATTATGTTGGAGGAGGGACTTCTTCTGGCACTGCTACAAAAGGAGGAGGGAGGGAAGACAAGGATGACTACCGTGAATTCACTGCTGTCAGTAAGGTCAAGAGTACAGGCAAGGCTGCAATAGACTCTTCCAGTTTTCAGTCCACTGCCATAATTGTTAAACCGTACTGCACTGCTTTTCCATTTTTGCTTATCATAAATTGTTGTATAGCCCTGCTTTACACTGATAAATCTGCAGCTTTTCCATGAGAAACACTCTTGTTCTTTATCTGAATTTAGTGATCCTTATATTGTTCGTGGAGTGCTTTTAGGAGGTGTGATTTATAAATAGAAAATTAATATAATCTCTGGCTGCCGGTGCTGCCAGAACAACAACAAAGTGAATTATTTAGAAACATCATACAGAAGTATTGAAAAATAGGCCTCTAATAGTATTTTTTTTAAAAAAATCCTATTCTATATAAGTAAAATACCTGGCTCATCTCATAAAACATATTTTCAAAGAACCAGACGATGGAATTAACTTTTTCTGTAACCGCAAGATTGGTAAAGTGGGAGAAAGAATTAAATTCAAGGCAATTGTGACCCAACTGAGAAGTATTTACATTTGAATAAACAGATTTGTTATGGAAGCTGAGTAATAATAATACTGCACCTAACAAGGGCTGGACATCTTAAATCACAAGTATCACTAAGATCCTGAGAAAAACACAGGCAATACATTCTAAAAACAGACTTGATCTGGCAGTACCTAGTGGAAGTTCTTGCAGGGAAAGGAAAAGTGGTGAACAGCTGTTGTTCCAACAAAGGCACATCCAGCAGGGTAAGAACGCTCGAAATAGAAAAGTTCATATTTCCCTTAACATTGTTGTGTTGCTTTTAACTGCAAAGGTTTTTTAACCACATGCCTCTCCTTGTGCATTTTTCATGATGTTGCTTTTTGTTACTAGCTGCTTAGACAAAGAAGAGTTTTGTTAAGGAGTCTCCACCATCAGGAAAACCCTTTGAAATGATGATGTGCACCAGATACAGCCTGGTGAATACCCAACAACCTTCCCAGCACAGTGAAGAACTTTCCTAACTAGTTTCTCTCTCAGGCACTGTTGCAAAACACAGCAGGAGACTGCAGGGGCCCTGTGCAAGGTCTGTCCAAAAGATGACACACAAATCAGGTCCACATGGAGATTCTCGAGCAGACGCTAAATATACTTTTGCATTTCTTCAGCAATTTCCTTTTGAGGCTCTCAGTGAGACACCCTATTTCACTTTGCCTCACAATGGTCTGCTCAGGATGTAAATATTATTACTGTCATCTATTAATGGCAATCTGATACTTAAATTACGAAGTTCACAAGGGAATATAGCTACATAACATCAAGCTTTTTGGTATTTTCCTTAAAGTCCCATACTGGACGCTCTACATTTTCATGCAGTGTATGAAAATGGGATTTTAAGCTCAAGGTTTCCTAGCCTAGGACTGAGAACAGCTCTGAGGTTTGCCGGGCTGATAATTTAAGGACCAGACTCTCTTATTTCCTTACCCCTGGGGTCACATGCCTTGACCTTAAGGCAGCCTGTGGATAATTAAGGCTGGTGGAGTTCCTCACTTTCTCAGGTGAGCTGAATGTAGGACAGGGATTCTGGAAGAGGTGGGATGCCTTGCTGAGGGCAAGGCTCAGGTTGGTGCTGGGCAAAGTTTCCTTGTGTTATTTTAGAGGCTTGGCTTCAGGGGAATCTTAACAAAAACTAGAGAAAAATAACTAAGTCTTAGAGAGTGCAAAAATAGAGGTGAGCCAGGAGTCTGTGGGTGTGAAGTGTTTGCAGTGTTTGTATTCTGGTGTGTCTGCTGTGGAGTCATAGCTAATGGCTGGCTAGAGGTTTGATAATTCTTCAGAAGTTTTTAGGCAGTTTTTGTCATGACTTTTGAAAGTAAGTGTCATGCCAGGCATTGAAAAAACACAGGCAATAAATGTAATCTGGGCTCAGGAGCTGTCTTTTTAAAAATATGTCAGGAGTCTTAAATGAGCATTTAAATAGGTACTTCTAAAGGGTTTTTAGGAGGTCTTTACGAGAATGAATGATAGTATAAGAAAATTATAGTCTCTTGATCAAGCCTTAATACTAATTGTTTGTGTTAGGTATAATCTGTTTAATTGTTGTGTCTCAGCTAGTACTTAAAGTGTTAAGGCTTTAGACCATTCACTGTTTGGGGATTACTGATAGCTGGAGAGCAGCAGCCTCTTGAAATCTAATTCTCCCTCTAGTTCAGGGTTGTTAGACCTTGGGCAGATAAAAAGCTTGTTGCCTTGGTTTCCTGCATCTCCCCTGAGAGTAAGAATGAGGCTGTCCCTGCCCCCTTACCTGAGCTTGAGCAGAGCAGCTGCCGTGAAGGTGCTCGGGGATCTAGGTCCTTAGTTGCCATGCAAGACAAGGGCAGTCTGAACAGTAACCTCTTAAAAAAAAAAAAAATCCTGTTCTGTGCCCTACCTCAAAAGAAATGTAGAGCTGCATGATTTTCTACATCCCTTAAGAAGGGTTAAAAAAGCCCCGCTAAGCTCTTCAGTGTCTATCTGAAGCTGGGAAGATAGATTTTTAGCGTCTTCTTCTGGCTGAACTATAGTTTAGAAGCCGTTTTTCTGTTTCTGATGAAGTTGTAAAAACTTCTCTGCCTGGATATCTAAAGCTGGTCCTTGTCTATTTAATGTTATCTGTGAAAGTGTTCTCACTCTTTTGAAGAATTCTACTCTGTTGAGTAAGCGGTACCTGGGGTTAGGTATAACTTGTAGCCTGGAAGCTCTGTGCATTAGGATGTTCTCCTGGGTGGTGGGTTTTACATCTTTACCTGTTTTGTTTTTCCTTTGTGCAGAAAGTCTCTCAGCAGAAGTTCGGTGAGATCAAGAATGTCCCTGAGATCCCCCAAGGTTTATTCTTCTCTGCAGAAGGGGGAAGTCATCTGGGATCCAAAACCACTTCAGGTGAAGAAAATTTTTGAAGCTTTGAAGAAAGGACTTAAGTAAGGACTTTTAAAATATTGTAATTGCCTTACCTAGTCACGGTGCCTGAGTTTGTGTATCCCATTGTTCTCTCTATCTTCTCTTGACTCTCTAAACTTGTCTCTGTGTGGTGGGTTTTTTTTTTCCTCCCCAAAGCTGCTTGTTGTCTTGCTAATATAGACCAGAAAGCAAGAAGCAGCACTAGGTGCTCTTTAGCTGTGTCTTTCACTGCAAAATTTATGGTGACTGTGGTAGCTAATCAGTCTTTAATGGAACTATCAAGTCTTTTAATATTATTATATAAATATTTTCATATTTTTAAATATGTATCGATAAGATAGTATATTATTTATATCTTAACCATTACAGTTTGTGTTGATGGGTCTGGGCTAGGATTGTAGGAACTTTATTTACATCCTAAAGAAGGGTATAAATATTATACTACTCTATGTACTATATCCTACTACTGTAGGAGGATTAAATAGTATCCCTTGGATTAATAATTCCTATGGCTTTTTATATTGGTGTCCCACTAACTGTTCGTGCATGTTACTGCCATCCCCAGAATTTTGTTATTGTATTAAATCATAGGTTTTTAAACTAAGAACACACACACAAAAAAGTAATAATTTGTTGTAAACTCAGATGTGTCACTTCCTATGCCAATGAAAGACTGAAATCCTAGCCTTAAAAATGTGAGTCAATGTCTTATTAGTGGATCTAGTTTTAAAACTTTTTTTTTTCTCAAAGTTTAGAGTTTATCAGGGATTAGGGAGGAACAAACATAAAATGGATCAGAATTTGTTCCCAGTTGTAAAAGGAATGCTGTATGATCAGGCTTCTGCCAAACCTGAGTAGCTAACTGACTATAGTAACCTACAGAAAACAACTGTATTGAATAGTGATGAAAAGTCCAAATTTTAAGTAAATGCAGATTAAATCCAGTTTCTGTTGGAGTGGGTTTTTTCCCCTCAGTATGGAGCATGTTTTACGTGCCTCTTTTCTTATAGTTATAGCAAGTAACTCCTAATTCTGTTAACCCTCTGGGTACCTCTCCATCATACTAGCAGCTCTAATGTGCTTAAATGTAAAAATGATGAAGTCCTTTTAAAAGGAAAGCAAACCCTTTCCTGTCACCAGCTTTGGCTACTTCTGCACTGAGCTGTTAACTGGCAAGCGTAAAGAGCAGGCAGCTGAGTGCTGGAGCCAGGGAGGGCCTTGAGGGAGCTGGGTTTGCAGCAGTGAGAAAATGAAACACACCAAAGCACATATGAAGAAGTGCAGCTGTCTGCATAAACTCATGTATTTTGACTCTTCAGATCCCGTGTTCCTTATACAGCACTTGCTAAGTGACTGTGTTTCTCTGCACTAAAAGTGCTCTGAACTAAATGCAAAGTTGGGAAAAGGTGGTTTCAGCAGAAACAGCTGAACACTCTGTGACAGCTCCTAAGGGACAGCACTGTCATGCAAGCAACTCTATAGAAGCCAACCAGCACCATGTGCTTTGCAATTTGCAGAATAGTTTCTGTTCTTGGAAAAAATAATGCATCAAGAAATTGTCTAGCACAGCCAAGGTGGTATTCAGCTGTGTTTGCTAAAACACTGGCTGGGCTACCTTGCATGCAGAGTACTGCTATGAGCTTGGTTTTGTGATGCAAGATTTTCTTGCTTGTAGTTCTTTGGCTTTGTGAGCTGGAGCTTGATGATGAGCACTCCTCAGTCACTGTAAGAAGCAAATGAACTGGTCCTCAACCTTACAGAAAAGACTCTAGAAGGCCAAACAGGAGTGACTAAGCTGGAAGAAGAGCTCTGTCAGCTGGGTTGTGTGTGTAGAACTTGCTGTTCTGCTACATCCTTTCTTTCCTCTTGCCTTTGTTAGTAGTTGCAGCTCCATTTTGTGTCTCATTTTGTGTTTTGCCTCATATTCCCAGAATAAAGTCTGTCTTCATCTAAAAGTGATTATTCAAATTAAAGGGAAACAAGCAAAGATGTTCCTTAGCAACTGCCACATCTGTCTTCTGCTTTTTTAGGAGTAGCTCTGCGTTTAGGACATTTGTCCAGAACCCCCCTTTCTCCTCATCTGACCCCTGATGCTCTATATGGCCATTCACAATCTCCAGAGGGGAAAACAAGAGAAACAAAGTGGCTTTGCAACATTTTACTGAAAGATCCTGTGTGTGAGATGTTGTAATGAATGTACAAGTAGACTTTAACACTTCAGGGTTTTTCCTTTTTTTTTTTTTTTTGTTCCTTTTTCTTTTCCTCCCTCCAGTGAATACTTGGAAGCACATCAGGCTGAGTTGGATTATCTCTCTGGTCGTCACAAAGATACGAAGAGGAATTCCAGATTGGTAAGAATACTTCTGACATCAATCACTGTAATTACTGTAAGAATGCTGGTATGAGAATCGATGGTGTCTCTCACTTCTGGGACTGCCAGGGTTTTCCAGTTCTAGCATCGCAGTGCGACACAGCAGTGCAGGACAGCTTGAAGTCTACCACGCAAGTGTGGTTGGTTCTTGGTGCTGGAACGTCTTGCATCGTATCTCTAGATGTGAGAATTGAGCTTGGGATTTCCAACATCCAGCTGTGATTTTTGTTCAGATCACTTTCCTTTTCTTATTGTGCTGGTGCCAGTTTGGTGGTTGGTGTTTGTGCCTGCCTCTAGATTGGAATAGCCACAGAGGTCAGGCTTGGTGTGGTAGATGTGACCTAGCAACTTAGATTCTACTGTGTTCTCAGATCCGTAGGAGTACCTTCAGCAACAGTGTTGATGAAAAGACAATTAATAGATCCAGTCTGCCTTTTGTTTGGGACATAAAGTTGTCTTTCATAGCTAGATTTTAACAAGTTAATCTCCCGTGTGCCATTGCCAACATCCAGATCCTTGTTACAGCTGATGATGAGACTGTCATCATCTCAGTTCAGGAATCTGGGTACAAAAACAAACTCCTCACAGAAAAAGAGAATACTAATAGATAAAAGGGATACGTGAGCAGTGGCTCTTAATTTACTGCAATTAAAGATTTGCATAGTGGTAGTGTAGTAATTATGAAAATATCTTTAGTATGTACAAATATACACTCTCCTATTCAGCTGGTTGTATTTCTTTTTCAGGCCTTCTATTATGACCTGGATAAGGTAAGACTTGTGACACTGCAAAAAAGAGAAAAATTGGAATGATGATCACTCTGTTACATAAAGATATCTAATTATATTTGAACAACAACATATATTGGAACAACTTCTCAAGTGCCTTTTTTCCCTTCTTAAAAGCAAATTCGCTCTGTGGAGAGATACATCAGAAAACTGGAGTTTCACATAAGCAAGGTGAGGGAATTTTTGCTTTGTAAGGCTTGTGCTGCTGTACCAGCGCTCTCTGAATAAAAAAGAAAAAACGCTTCCACTGCAGCTTCTTTAACGGAGAACAATGCTGGGTACTTTTCAAAAGCTGTAAGCACTCGATTACAGAAGGAGGGTTTGTTTGTTTATTTTTTTTCTTGGATGGTTCTATTCAGGTTAAATATCGGACATAACCCAACCTGAGCCTGTCTCTGAAACCAGTTTGCATATTCTGCCAGTTTATTCAGAATGATGCTGATATGGGAGACTCTTATCCCCTCCCTTCTCCTACAAGGGGCCTAGAGAGGCAGTTCTGTAGACTGCATGTTTGATTCCAAAGGAATGAAATCTCTAACACAGAATAAAACCCTTAAACTTCACCTGTACTGAAGGGATTGGTTTCCGGCTCCCCAAGTAATTTTGCCACAAACAGTGTTGCTTGTACTCCCTGTCTTCTGTCCTGATAATAGGAGAGTAGTGAGTTTATTGATATTCCCTCCGTCTTTGCAGGAATGTCTAAATATAAACAGTGCACTCTTTATTCAGTCTGTAAAGTGCACGAATTGCTGCTTGGTGCAATGCTCTGATAATGGGATTTTGTTTTCTCTTGACAGAGAAGACCAGGCTGATGTTTCCTCCCAAAACTTGTTAAAATCACTTTGTTCTTTCTTCTCTCTCTCTTCCCTATGTTCCCCTCCTTTTTAACCTTGAAGGTAGAAGAGCTGTATGAAGCTTACTGTATCCAGTGCAGGCTACGAGATGGGGCTGCTAATATGAAGCAAGCCTTTTCCTTGTCTCCTTCCACCAAAGCCTCCAGAGAGAGCCTAGTGGAGCTTTACAAGAACTTTCAAGGGTGCACAGAGGTAGGAAACGCTGCACACATCCAGCAAGGAGCTGACTGAGTTCCTAGCCAAAAATGTGCCACTTTCTAATGGCTTTATTTATTTATTATTTAAATGCTACAGGCTTAGAGAAAATACAGGTGCATAATGCTAACTAAAGCTTGAGAGATACGTACCTAATGTGTAGAATTCTTGAAATCTCTGCCTTAACTTTTTGGCCAACTAGTTTGTTACTACTCATTTTGGCATTGTCATGCATTCATGGAAAAACCTTCTTTGTTTCTGCTTTAATGTGGAGCCCAGTGTCATTTTTTCAGGGAAGTAATGGGAGTGGAGGAGTAGAATTGAATACATAATTAATATGCTGTGCTATTGTTATCAAACAAGCTGCAAAAGGTACCTGAGGGCGATTTGCTCAAGCAGTTCAGCTCACTTGCAGAGCTGCTTCACTTTTCTGTCTTAAAAGTAGTTTTAATAGACTGCGTTGGCCTCCACTGGTGAAGATGTTAGTGTGTCCTTTTAAAAAAGGTAAAATCTAGCTCAAATCCTTTAGAGGTGAGATAAGAAAATGGCATGTACAGCAAGGGTGATTGTTTTACATTGCTTTTCAACCACAGTGACTGTTGCCTCCTTTCTAGGATATGTGCTTTATAGAAGGGGCACTGGAGGTCCATTTGGGAGAGTTTCACTTGAAGATGAAAGGTATGTTCCCTTCTCATTTCCTTCAGGACTCATCAACAGAATAAATAGCCACTGAATGGATGAGAGATACTTTTTTCATAGAAAAAATGAGATAATTTTTTTCATAGAAAACCCACAGTCGCTGTTAGTTGCTTCCACTGGGTTTCTGGGTCAGATTCTGAACATAAACTTGGCAAACTTGTGTTTGCTTCAGTGTTGTAAAACATTATCTGCAATGATATTTTCCATTTGAGAACAAAAACTGGCATGTTTTTTCCCCTTGGCTCAAGTAAAAGTTGTCCTTATAAGAGTGTTTTGGGTTGCAACACAGCTTCCACGTGTGGAGCTGTCTGCAAGGGGTGTTAGCCAGATACTTCATTTATTGCAAGCAGAGGCTTTGGGGGGACACTGAAATTCCAAAATATGAGGAGTTTGCTTCTCTTTTTCAGGCCTGGTCGGCTTTGCACGTCTCTGCCCAGGAGACCAGTATGAGGTGCAGTATGCAGCAATTCATTTTCTTTGTTTTACTACTTGGACTCTGTAGGAATAGCAGAGCACGGGTGCAGTATGTGGAAGGGAAGCAGGAAACGGAGTAGAACAAAACCATGTGCTGTGCTGATGAGGACGGTGCTGTGGCACCTTCCTTAGTTACTCTGGCTTCTGAGATGGAAAGACATAATTTAAGAGCTTTGAGAGAGTGTAAAGGTGGCAGTGATTGCCTGTTGAAGCCAACCTGGCAGGTGATTGTGTGTTCAAAGCTGCCCCTACAATGAAGCAACCTTGTTGCTCCCTCTTTCTCGACATACTGCTCTGGGCGTGATTTGGATGCGTATTAGTAGGTGTGACTGGGTTGGTTTCCTATTTCTAGCAGTACCAAATTAATTCTTACGCCCTGTATTTTAAGAACTGCTGCACTGAGTATTTGATTCAGTTTTGCAAGCTCTTCTAGCATGGATGGGACTGCTTGATTAAGGCATTAAAGCTCACAGGGTTAACTCATGCCTCTCATCTCCTGCCTTTATCCAAGTTCCTACATAGATAGTGATCAGAGAAAATGTTGGCCTCTGCAGTTTTAGAACAGTGAGGCTTGTTGGTCCAAGAGAATGTTTTGGGATGCTAATACAGTGTGTCTGACTTCTACTCTCCATGTTTTCCAGGTGTTCGTGCGCCTGGGACGCCAAAAATGGAGGCTAAAAGGCAAGATTGAGACAGATGACAGTCAAACATGGGATGAAGAAGAAAAGATTTTTATACCCAATCTGCATGAGAAGTTTGAAATCAAGGTGTGGTGTATGATGGTTGGGCTGGAATCAGTGTGTTAATGGGTCATCTGTCATATTGCTCACCTGATAGCCTGCCATGCAGTTTCCAAAATTGTTAAGCAGTGTGGTGTTTTTCCTGTGGGTTTTTCTATTTGCTTGTTTTCTACTCACTTAAAAATGGCAGGTTTTTTATGATTAATTTTTTTATGATTAAAAAATTGTGTGTGTATATAATATGCATGTATATATACAATCTGTATCGTCCCATGTAGAATTTCTGGGTATTAAATACCTGGAGTTTTGTTGAATTTCACTTTTCATTGAAAATATATGTATCAAGAATATATAACTATATGCCAATATAAATTGTCTGTACTTTAAAGAAAACTGGCAGAACTTTAAGTAAGGATGTAAAGAGCTTCCAAAGAGAATAAGCTGTAACAGCAAGAGAGCAGGGCTAGTGTTCTGGTGCACTGGGGACACCCTGGGGACACGTGTGGTCTTCAGAGCCACATGCAGCTGTCCCCAGCAGCGCCTCTGCTGCTGGCCTGGCAGGTGGAACGGGTCTGTAAGCAGCTCTTCCCCGTAGCCTGGCATGTTTTGTGCGCCAGACTCTTAGCCATGACTCCTCAGGGAGCTGAGGCTGCAGGCAGCTGGATCCAGTGCCGCGGGGACGCGGTGCCAGCGCACGGCTTCGCGTTCCAGCTGCTGCCTAAAACAGCTAGTGCAGATTCCCCTCCTATCTGGAAGCAACAACTGGGTTACATAGGACAGACGTTTTGACGTTTTGCCAGCCCTAAGAAATGTGCCTGTAACACGTTTTTGCCACTACTACACAATAAAAATTGGGTAAGAGACTAATTCATGCGCCTGTTTTCCCATAATAATTGTAAAACCTTATATTCCTTTGTGCGATGATGAATCGTTTAAAGTTTAGAGAGAGCTAATACGGTGTCTTTCTGTCGGCTTGAAAGACGATTAACTAAGGTTCTGCATACCCTTTTTCCACCTTGTACTTAATAGTCTTTACCCAGTGCAAATACCTAGGAGGTTAAAAAGGAAAAAAGGTGCAAAATACAGTTTTCCAAAAGGATCCTAGCAACATCATCTCCTCTAAGAGCCAGCGGAAATCTAGGCAGTTAGGTAATTCTTGAAGTAGACTTCTGGCACGTGTGCTAAAATTCTGTGCCGAGTCTGATGCTGCTTTATGCTTTTGTTTCAGATGCAGCAGGACAATCTGATGTTCAGTTAATAGTATATTTTTATAGCAAATATTTATTAGTAAATGTTTTATTAGGTTTTTAAAGTAGCAGATGCAGAAAAGTGCCAGACTGGAAAAATTGCAGGCTTTTGCTGTTGATAATAAATCTGGAGCCTCCTGTGGGCTTAGAGGAAGGACTTACACTTGTAAATTCTGATTGTTTATTTATTTATTTATTTATTGTCTGCTGAGCTCATGACAGTTAAAAAGGTCATAGTGGGTGCAGACAGATGGGCTTCCTGACTCTTCAGGCAAGTGGGAGCTGAAGTAGTCTAGCATAGGTAGGTGAATGTTGGTATTATGTGTGTGTTTTTTTCTGAAAGACGGGCTTATTATAATATTGGCATAAATGTGACAGATACGCACAAAAAAAAGACAATTATTTGTGGATGCCAAACCAAAATTGTCAAAAATCTAGACAAGAACTTCTTTCTTAAGTTATAGTTGATCAAGTTCTGTTGTCAGAAGCGTTACACAGCTCTGTGCCGCCCACTCCATTGGAAGCTGTCCATGACCTGGTCCTTGTGGGAATATTGGCTCACAGCAGTTTATGAACCCAGCCTTGAGTAACCAAATTTGAGTTTGTCGTGGGTGTCAGAACAGATTTGAGGCCAAGGGCTCAAATCCTTTCTATGCACGTGAATCTTAGGATTGTCTGGCCTGATGAAAATGGATTTCTTTCTTCCTGCAGGTGACAGAACTGCGAGGACTGGCCACTATTCTGGTTGGTGTGGTGACATGCGACAGCATAAACTTCTTCACAACAAAGCCTCAGGCAATCATTGTGGATATAACTGAGCTGGGCACCATCAAGCTACAACTGGAGGTCCTCTGGAAGTAAGTACGGCTTCAAATTAAAAAGCTGGAGCTAAAAATTTGAAATAAAGGCTCCTTAACGTGTCACTCAGCAGCATTCAACATCGTAGACCTCCTTTCTGTTTGCAGAGCAGGTGCTGGCTAGATAGCAGCCACGTGCCCTCCCACAGCTGCTTTGCCTGATCTCAGTCCTGGGGGGGAAGATGGTTCCTTTTTCTGTGACCCGTCAGTTCCTTGCACTGTTGTTGCTGAAGCCAGGGCTGGCTACACCGAGCTCTTGCTTAGCTTACTGATGTGTCAGGGTAGGCATTCAACTCGACCTTTAAACGGTGTATATACCTCTGTGAAGCTTGAACAATAAAACTTAAAGGTGATGAAATGAAGCTGGGAATAACGGCTTTTAGGCACAATAAAAATATGATTGAAAACTAAAGCAATCACTGTTACTAGATCACAGGGGTTTTTTTTGCTTGTTTGTTTTTTTTTTTTTTAAACTAAAAACACAGGAAAAAAAAGAACACAAGAGGGGGGGCGGGGAAGAAGCTTCTCCAGAGACTTGTATTTACTCTATGATCACAGCTGTAAGAGGACTGTTTGTGCACTACAGAGAAGCTCACTTGCAGGCAAAATAGTTGTGGTTTTACATGGTGCATGTGACTTGAAAAAATGTTTTAAGTTTGTAAATTGACTTATTTTTGTAGTGAATTACTGATGCTATTAAAGTCACCTGTGTGGATGCTGCGTTGGAACTCTTTGCTCACTAGACAAATAGTACATTTTTTTTGTTGCTGTTGTTTTTAATGCAGTGCTGTATCTCCTGCTGCGGGTGTACCACTGCATCTTGCCAGGCTCTATCTTCTCTCCTCGGTTAGGCTGGCTGTGCCTACGTGGGTGTATGAGGAGCCCGATGTAGTCCTTTCCCAACAGCACTGTCTGGTGTTATTATAACTTGTAGCTCTGATGTCTGCACGTCATGTAATAACTTCTTGCACTTAAATTGTTTTGCAAATGAATGACCTGCTTTCCTGAGGATCTTGGAAGAAGCGAGGAAAATGATGTGATGGTTGCCTAACTACTGGGTATGGTGCTTGTTTGTTTTGGTTTTCCCCTTCTTCCTGGAAAGCGGGTATGTAACTTGGCAAACATAACAGCAGATTTGACTGGTGCTGGGAAAAAAAATCCATTTTCTCGGGAAGCCAAGACAGCAGCTCAGTGCTTGGGGCTGTCCATTCATACCGAGAGTCTCTCCTGCAGCAAATGAAAACTTGTTAACCTGTTTCCATTTAATACTGTCCAGGAATTAAATCTGGCCCTCTTGGTAAGGTGCCCAGTAGAGCACTGGGCTCTCTTCATTTTTATTTATGGTTTATTGTAGTGCCTGGTTCTTACCAGTCGATGTGGAAAAGAGGCCTTTGAACATGCCCAGTCATAGGGGAGGCCACTCTTGTGACCACACTTGTAGATCTAGTCTCTCTCTGAGAAAAGGGGAACAGGAACAATGTTTAGATTAGGAAGTGCAGGGAGTTTGCAGACCAGACTTAACCATGACTCAGCCTTATGCAATTCTTCTCCTCTGGCCATGCTTGTTTCTTGTTTTGTTAAAATTATCTAAAAATAAAAAAAAACTTGCATGTATGTTCAGTGTGCAGCCTGCCAAATGTCTGAGAGCCAAGTAGGTCTTTCAGCAGAGAAAAGCGTCTCTGCCCTTGGGATAAAGTAACCAGATGTATCTTAGAATCACCCTTGAATTTCAGGTCTTAATATCCTGTTTCTACTTTTAAGAACATTTGGAAGCATCACTTGATCTAAGTCTTGTCACAGTCGTCTTAATAACTAACAGGAGAAAAGCCCTATAAAGGTTTTCTGTTCAAATTTGTATTCCAAGTCCTG